GACATTTCAAAACCTGTGTTTGTACCCTGTGGCTATAAGTCCCGCATGTAATAAGTTGTTAATATCATTTGATAAATGTATGTTCTTTCCCTGTGCTCCCTATGCAGATACAATATAGTAGAACAACTCACATTTTATGAGAGAATATTTATTTGATTGCATGATTTACGACTCTTATTGAAAGATTATGTATATAACATCTAAGCAAATATGTGTCTATATTATATTATAAAAGTCATACTTTATATGAGTTGCTCATGATTTGATAAAATTGATATTACAAAAACAAATGCTATTTCAGTATTTTCAGTATTTTATTTATAAAATAGACTATTTGTAAAACGTTCTTATATACTTCTCAATCATAACGGTTTTTGTGTTAAAGATATTTGTTGAATATTTTTTAACTATTGATCATTAATTTTTGCTATATGAAAATATTTTGGAATTTTAATATTATTTTGGTTACTAAACGCCAAAAACACTTTTTTTCAAATTGTTAAGTGACTATGTCATGTAAAATATTGTTTTTTATTATGATTTAGAGTTTATGTAAGTTATTTTTGCAGTTGCATCAGTTTAGTTTGAATGATTTTTTAAAAAATATTTATCAGAATAATTATTTCTGGTAATACTTTTGCTATGATGGTGAAAATAATGGAAATTTAACATTTTCTTCATCTGTGATGATTTTTAAAAATTTCGTTGAATGTTTGGCATGTACTTCTTTAATGTATTTTCATTATTTAAACTGCATTTTATATGTATTGCTTGAAATAGAAAAACTGTATTTAATTATATATTTGATTGTAAATTATCCCAATGGTATGAAGGCTCAGCAAAATAAATTAGTTAATGGCCACTTTGATGAAGCAATTTTATTACTTCCATTTATAAGCTCTTCAAATGTGATATTTTCACAATCTTTCAAAAAGAATAATTATCGAAATTGACTTTTTCTGTGGGTGACTGTTTTTTTTTTTATAATTGGTTGCTTCATTGTTGGGAGAATAAGATTTCCTGTTGTAACACATCTTTATGTAAATTTAAATTTTTGAAGTTATGTGCAGTGTACAATACAGGAGAAATAATAATAAATAATAGTAATAAAGTTATATAAAAGAGAGACATTCTTATTATAGCTACAACTAACTGTTTTAATAAAAATAAAGAGAAATCAGAAACTGAAAGAAATGTAGGCGTTTTCATCCGCAGAGAACCCGTTGGCGCTTCGGGAAAGAACCCGTTGGCGCCGTTGCATTTTTTACTCGCCAGCTCCGGTTCATCACAAGATCGCACCGTAAACAGATTCTGCCGAAACTGAATTTTGTTAACGTATTTTTAGTGCAGTAAATTCAAGTAGCAGACAAAAACAATAATAAGCTGTGGTAGTAAAATTCAAATAAAAGCATGTAGAGTAAAACTAACCGGTTAAACGGTATTCATTTAAAAATATGAATAGTATAATGTACTGAAATTAACCGGTTAAACCGCGGTTCTCGAAGGTCCGGTTAAACGCGATAAACGAAAAAAAATTGTCTAAAATCAGTAACACAGAAAACAAATATCCTTCACAGCAGTGGTTGCTATTTGATGACATGGTGATGCATCAAACTATTCTGTATCTTAGAAATCATATATTTGATTTCATTTAATCATCTATTTAGTCACACCCATCCTCTGAAAGGTATGTAGAAAAGCATTAACATTAGCTGTTAAAATTTACGCCATCAAAATTTATTCTCATAATTTAGATGACAATAACTAATAATAAAAATAAAAGCTTATTTATTTATTTAAACGCCACATGCACATTTGGGCCTACGGAAACAATTATTTTAGAGGTGGAAACCTTCATGATTCTGCTCATGTTCTTAGAGCTGTTTTATTAAGAACACAACGTGAACAGTCGTGTTATAAATATGCATTCACCCCTCCCCTGTATTTTCTCCTTTCATCCGAGGAGAACCGGAATCTACGAAAATCTATTAGTCATTGTAAAAATTAGAAAAAATATAATAAATGAGAAGAATAATATAATCTTAATGCGACAAAAAGTGATATTCACAAATGAACGAAGAGATGGTTGCAAACTCGAACAAGCGATAGGATAAATTGCTGGGTTACCAGGTTTGAACTATTATCGCCAAAGTTGGCGATATTTACATTTACCGGGTTCTCTGCGGAAGTGCTTTCGAAATGTACTATAAAATATTTTACGAAAAATTCATATTGACTGCAGAATTAATTATTAAAAATTAAAAACATCCTTGTATTTTCTGGTTTTATTTATTTGTTTATTTTGGTATTACAACTTTATTTAAATATTGGCCTATTTTGCCAAATTCTTAACTAAAAAAAATTAGGATTTAATATTGTCATAATTGCTCATGTTCATAAAAATCATTATCTTCCTAAATAAATTGCAAAATTAAAAAATACTTTAAAAAGTTTTAAAAGCTTATGAGTAGATTTTTAGATTAGTTATTCTTAAATTGAGCTTATAAAAATTTAAATTGCATTAATTATGTTCTGTCTATCTGAATGTATTCTGGTTTCAAGAATTAAAATATATTTCTTGATTTGTTACAGAGTTTATATGCAATGCCGAGGAAATTAATGAAAGTGAAGTAATATTTTCATGCACAGCTTTTAATACACATGTAAGGTAATGATGAAAAAATTAATTTGCTTTTTCTAACATTAAATTAAGGATTAAAATCAAACAGGTCCTTTGTAAGATTACATCAGCTAGAGTTTTTTTTTTTGTTTGTTTTTTTTTTTTTTTTTGAAGTCCTTAATTATGATTTGATATCGGCTTATTAAAAGCATTGTAATTAAGGGATAGTAAATTGGAGTTGTAGCTTTGGTATTAGTCATAACCTGCTATTCTGACAGTGCTAATATTTAAATTGCTTTAGACAACATTGTTTCACTTCTTAAAACTCCTTATCTTTAGATTCGATTGTAATAAAGCTCAAAAGAAATTTTAATAATCAAGTAGACCCATTGAATTGTAAAACTCTGAATTACAGGAATCTTTTTATATTCAGATTATTTTTTTATAAAAATTTTGGGAGCATTTTAAGATTTATAGCAATAGGAGATAAAATATATAGCTTAAGAACTTCAAGAAGGTTTAACCACTTCACTATTTAGCTTGAGACAAACTCATCACTTTGAAAAGTATCATCAAGCGTCAGCAATGGGACACACTCACTGGGAATAAATATGACTTGAATCATTATCCCCAACAGAGACTATAACCATTTCATGTTTTTGATCCCCAGAATGCAGCGAACCCGAAAAGAGGAGATTTGTAGCCTAATTGGTCTGGCTTTCTCCAGAGCCAGTATATATCAGGATCATACAAAACAAAGTTCACTTAAAAAGATAAGAAACAGAAATTCATTTCCAAACCCTTTCAGCCAGTATTGCAGTAGAAATGACTGCTCATTAAAAAGTGTGCCTTTATGGAATAATATTTGTAAATTTTCAGATAAGAGACTAGGAAACACAAAAGACTTTTTACTCCTGGGGGTGACACTATTCAACATCCGTGACTGTAAAAAGTAGCTGGTTTTATAATAGATCTTAACATTGACGAAAGGGAAAAAGGAACATTTTTCTAAAGCCAGTTTCAGATGCAAAAAGTTTTCTTTAAAGGGAAAAAAAAAAAAAAAAAAAAGCAAATGTTTCAGTTTTTTAGAAGAGCGAATTCTTGGAAAAAGTAGATGTATCATGAATGCATAAAATATATGTTGATACTAGTCTCTTTTGTCATTACCTTAAGACTAACATTATAACACTGATATGTTATAAAAATTAAAAGTTTCCAATAAATGAGCATACAAATACATATAGATTTTACATGACACTAGTAGTAAAAGAAATATAAATACAGTCAAAAGTCGTTAATTCGGACACCCATAATTCGGAATGATCTATAATCCGGACATCAAAACTAAAAACTTTCTGCGCATGGCGCCGCGTTGACACATGCGCAAGGCGTTCACGCGTGCGCGTAGACCTTTTACGACTGGCATATGAGTGTGCGCAGTGCAGAATACGTTTCGCGCGCGCATTTATGTATAATGGAGTATAAGCTAAATAATTATCTATTTCAGTTAATGTTGAGATTGCGTTGTTCCTTAATTTTCGAATTGCATCCGGCTTATTATTTTTGCAGATTGTAAGAGCAATTTATAAAAGTAAGCTTAAACTTTCGTTATATCAAATAAATTTCCGATATATTTGTTAATATGTAAAGGATCTAAAGCGAAAGTATGTTTTGAAATCCGAATCTGTTATCAATTTCACGCTGCTCGGCGGCGGGCGCGTAATGAATTGGAAGTTGATTGTCAGCACTATCCTTATCTTCAGCGCAGATGTTTTATTTTATTGGCTTATAATTCCTACCAAATGTAGTATTTCATCTCGATATGCTTCGTCTTTGATATGATTTAAAACAAGTTCCTCGTCATTATAATTCGCTTCCGATAGCGAAAGAAAAGTGACAGAGGTTATTGAAAACAAAAAAAATTCGATTGACAAATAGTCGGTATTCTGACCACAGCAATATAGGACTTGACGGCGGAACTTTGTAACTGAACAAGAAAATTAGTCTGTTTAATAGAATAAAGAGAAAGTATTATCACATGAAACGAAGCAAAACTTAAACAACTTACATTGAAAGAAATGTTAATAAAGTAAACAAAATAAATATTAAGCTTTTTCTTTTTGCAAATTTTGATACCCTTTAGATCATAATTGTTCTTTATTTCATAAATACGGTTCATATTTTTAATTTTAATTTCTGCATGCCATCTTACGAGATTTAAACTGATGATCTATAATCCGGAAAAATCGATAATCCGGAATCGCCGAAGTCCCGACGAGTCCGGATTAACGACTTTTGACTGTAAATATAAAAATAAGTCATTTCTGTATTAAACATTATGTTTTAATAATTTTGCAGCCACCTTCTATTAGCAGTATGTTGAGCTTGAGTGTTAATAAGTGTTTGCTTATATGACCTGATAATGGTCATCATCTGGACATCAGTCATCATATGTCTATCTGGACATCAGTCATTATATGCTTATCTGGACATCAGTCATCATATGCTTATCTAGACAACAGTTTTGTCTATCTGAACAGTTCATCTATCTAGCAAATAGTTTTGCAGTAAAACTTCTATAGTTCTAAATTATTTTTCTTTAAGTTTAATCACTGCAAACGTTAAATAATGCAATAAGTTTATATGAAATATATATGTAATTATAACTGGAAGAAAAATTAAATTGCTTAAATTATGTACCTTAGATTTTTTTAAAAATAAATATGCAGCTAAGTTTGTTGGCATGTATTTTGAATATGAATGTAATGAATGCTCATTACCATTCAATAGTTTTGACAGTTCAGGAAATGCAACATTAATTTTGTTATATAAAGCAATCGTTACTGATACTCCTTTTACTTACAATTCATTAAGCTTTGTATCTGTAAGTGAAAATTTTTCTTTATTTTTTATAAGCACATAGCATACAAAGTATTTTACAGGTTATTGTTTATGCCATTATTAAGGTTTCTGGTCTACAGTAAGCTACAAAAGCAAAAATTATACACTGAAGAGCCAAAAATATTAAGACCACCTACTGAATAATACATTCCCATGACCTTTGGCCTGCAAAACAGCTGTAACTCACCTTGACATGGATGCCATAAGTTCTTGGTAGATGACTGGAGAGAGGTTGTACCAAATGTCTAAGCAGCGGTCATGCAAAGTCGGGATATTCCGACATGGTGGTGTTTGAGCTTTGAGCTGCCGCTCCATGACATCCCAAATGTGCTCTATCAGGTTAAGATCTAGCGAGGTAGGTGGCTAGGACAGTAACTGGAATTCATCCTCATGCTTCGCAAACTACACCAATACAATTTGACCCTTGTCACATAGGGCACTGTCCTGCTGGAAGATTTCATTTCTTGCTGGGAACACAGACACCATGTAAGGATGCAACTGATCTACAGTTATGTTCATATAGTCTTCAGCTTTCATGGTCTATTATACTAAAACTAAGGGTCCCAGAGCTGCCCATGAGAATGTTTCCCAAAGCATAATACCGCAGTACCAGCCTATGTATGACCTGCTGTACAACAGGGGGAACAACTGTTCGCCTGGAAGACAGCATACCTTGACATGACCATCGATGTGATGCTTGAGAAATCATGAGTCATACGACCAGACAACTTTCTTCCACTAATCCATGGTCCAGTTTCGATGTTCTTAGGCCCACTGTAGGTGTAGTTGACAGTGATGCTTGGTCAACTGAAAACTTGGTTCAGGTTACAGTAAAGTCTGTAATCCGGACATCCATAATCCAGACCTCAAAGCTACTAACTTTATGCGCATGCGTAAACGCATAATGAATTTACACATGTGCGTTTAATGTATAATGGACGGTATAAGCTAGGCTAAAATTATCTAAGGCATTTCAGTTAATGTTGCAGATTGCGCTGTTCCTTAGTCTTCTAATTGGATCCAGCGTATTATTTTTTGCAGACTGTTAGAGCAATTTTATAAAAAGTAAGCTTGAACTTTCGATTATGTCAAAAAGAGTTTCTGATTCTGGAGCTGCCAAAGGATCTACAAAGCGAAAGCATGTTTCGATGTCCATCAAACAAAAAGTGCTTGCTGCGATAAAAATGTGAAGGCATGAATAAAGTGACAGAGGGTTACTGAAAACAAAAAATTTCGATTGACTAAGTTAGTCGTATTCTTGACACAGCAATTACAGGACTTGAACAGCGGAACTTTGTAACTGAACAAGAAATTATGTCTGTTTATAGAATTAAAGAGAAAGTATTAGCACATAAAATGAAGCAACTTAAACAACTTACACTGAAAGAAATGTTTAATAAAGTAAAACAAAGAAATATTAAGCTTTTCTTTTGTAAATTTTGATACCTTTAGATCATAATTGCTCTTTATTTCATAAATTACGGTTTCATATTTTTAATTTTATAATTTCTGCATGCCATCTTACCAGATTTAAATTGATGATCTATAATCCGGAAAAAAGCCTAATCCGGAATCGCCGAAGTCCCGACGAGTCCGGATTAAAGACTTTGTACTGTATTAAGATACATTAAATTAAAATAATGTAAAGAAAATAGCAATAAGCTACTTAAAGCTCCTCCCCTAAAAAAATGCAATCGAAAAATTGACAACTGTAATTTTACGCACAGCGAATACTGATATTGACTGAATTAAATACGAGGGCTATCCAGAAAGTAGATTACGTTTTGGAATAAAAAATAAACAAAGTATAGGAAACAAATTTTATTATATACAGATGAAAGCCACACTCAAATACTACTTTTTACATAGTCCCATACAAATTAAGGGCATTTATCGTAGCGATGTACGAGCTTGGAAATTCTTCGTCGAAAAATTCGGCCCCGCCTGCCCCCAACCCTTCGTTACCTCTTCTTGCAGCTGTGCGTCGTCATCAAAACGCTGCATAGCCAGCCACTTCTTCATTGCTGGGAATAGGTGGAAGTCGCTCGGTGCCAGGTCGGGACTGTACGGCGGATGAGGAAAACTCCCACTTAAAGATTCAAGAACTTTACGAGTGACATTTGCCGTGTGGGGCGGGCGTTGTCGTG